ATGGTGGACTCAGCATCCCCCAAAACACACCTCCAAAGATTCCACTCAGCCATAAAAGGTTTAAAGGAAAGGAGGAGGGTAAACTCAGTTATTACTGAGACAGGGGGTCAGACTCGTCCCTGTCCCCCACTGCGTTCAGGCTGTTGACTTCTGTGATCTTCCCCTAGACACTATCTTGTTCACACAGCTTGGTCACACAGTTTGCTCATGAGATTACCGAAAGGGAAGCTCAGGAAGCGATCTGGTCATCTGTTAATTGTTTATTCTTCTTTGATCTACAAGTCAGGCAAGGTTTTGTGTGATTAAAAGGTTTGAGAAGCGTGCTTGGGCTGGAAATGAGTAGAGGTGGAGGTGCCTGGCTTAAAACTTAGTTACAGTGTAGCTTTGCTACAGTGACAGGAAAAGGGGCTTTCTGCTGAGGGCAGTTTGCTTCAAAGAGCTGCTGGCAAGTCCCCACTTGTCAGAAAATCATCCCATTTCTGTGGGATTAGAGGGGAAGGTCTGTCTTCTGGAGCTTCTTCATGTCAACATAGTGTTCTAGAGTGGAAGATGTCAGCGTCTCTTTCCTGACAGTTCTAGTTGCCTGCTCTCGTATATGGGCAGGATAGACTGCAGTTATATTGATGCCAACAAAGATAGAGACTATTATGGGCAATCATGTCCATCTCGTTCTCTTGAGGTCAGTTCTTGGAATCATGCTAACCAGAGACTCAGTGCTTCTCGAGACGGAGGGAGGAGCTTCTGGCATGGCTGCAGTCTGGCATCACACAGTTCATTTTTTTCCCCTCTGGTGGCAGTTATGGTAACTGTAAAGCAAGACCATGCATCAGATGCTGGGTCTGCAACGCTGTTGTCCTGATCGTGAACTTCTTGGTTTTGTACTTGAGAAAGTGGGAGAACCCTGTAGGATTCTGCTCGGTTCCAGCTTTACAGCAGGAGTCTCTCATTTTTATTTCTGTAAAATCCCTGAAATATCCTTGCATATAGTATGTGCTCCATGCATATGGGCTGAAAGAATAGAGGGCAGAGGTTTCATACTGGAGAAGCAAACATAATTTAACCATTAGAATTTGCACAGGTCACCATGCTTGTAGGCGTGGGGAAGTAGTCTTATGTGACACTCAACATGAATGAGGTGGAAATTTATTATTGGAAATAAATATGGAATCCTAGAGCTATATTAACTAGGAGAACTTAGCTTCCATGTGACATTTTTTAGGCTCACAAAATAGCCTAAACTATAGCCTAACTTCCCTATATTTCTTCACATTTATTGTGAGCCTTTTAAATCCCTTCTAATAACCTCAAGTTTACATTCCACAGTCTACTTCACTTTTTTATTGTTTATGTGCTTCCTGTGAAGACAGCTAGACAGACAAGGCCACAAAAAGGAAAGCTTGTCCTTATCTAATACTTATGGGTAACGGTGTAATGGGATTTTTTTCTTTCCTACCAGAGGAAGCCCGCCGTTTCACTCAGAACTCACCCATTTGAGGCATTTTAAATGGATGGGATGTTAGAAGCCAGGCAAACTGTCCTTCTGAAAGTGAAATGAATGCTAGTCTAATTGCTGGAGAATGTATCAGCTGGGCTTGGAAAGCAAGACTTCTACACTGGCTCCCCCTGCTGGCTCTGAGGATGCACTGTCTTTGGAAACTGATGAAAGCAATATACCTAAACCTTTTCGTTTGAGGGCAAGGCACTCAAATGCCAAATATAGCATTCTTCTAGAAGGCATTTACTCCGTCCGTGATAAACATACCAAGTGTTTCTTGAATTTGCTTCCAAAGGGCAGAAATCCTGCAACCCAGAACACCCCACAACCAAGACTGTTTTCCAAGTGGAAAACAAAACATGCCATTTGGGCAATTTCATTAGGGAGTGGGACCACCGCGGACGCTGGGATTAAGGGTAAAAACTCAGTAGCCGTAGGTGAGATAAAGAGCCAGACTGTTTCTTACGGTTGTAAAGTTGGACGTGGGGGCTCTGAATTTCCTTTTCATGTGTTTAGGACTGCTGGAAACTTCCGGCGACTTAACTGTTGTTTCTCTTTCCCTTCTCTCTTTCTCTCTTCACAAGAAAGCTGGTTATCCCCACTCAATGAGAGATGCGGTGACCAGATTAATTTTAAAAACGGTCGGTCACTGCAGACTTCAAGCCTATTGTAAAAACTGCATTAAAAGGTCTGGCTGTCGGGGGAGACAGGAAAGCTGGTAGATTTTTCCTGCTTGAGTCTGAGTCCATGTAGTGGGAGGAAGGCAGAACTCTGACCTATGGCTTTGACACGGGCTCCAGTACCAACTGGACCTTGTGAACAGGAGCGGGAATCAAGGATGACTGCTGTCTTCCTACAGCACCTCCCTGGAGAACCAGGACAGAGAGACGTCAGAAATGTCCTTGTAAATACGCCATGAGCACCTTGGGTTTGGGGAACTGCAGACCCACCCCTACCGAGGTTATACCATGACCCTGTGACAAATGGCACAGTGCTGGGCAGAGGGGATTTGCTGTGGTTCAGTCGCTAAGTCACATCCAACTCTTTGCGACCACGGACTGCAGCACGCCAGGCTTCCCTGTCCTTCACTGTCTCCCAGAATTTGCTCAAACTCACATACATTGAGTCAGTGACGCCATCCAATCAGTTCATCCTTTGTCTTCCCCTTCTCCTCCCGCCTTCAGGGTCTTTTCAAATGAGTCAGCTCTTCGCATCAGGTGGCCAAAGCATTGGAGCTTCAACTTCAGCGTCAGCGTCAGTCCTTCCAGTGAATATTCAGGGTTGATTTCTTTTAGGATTGACTGGTTTGATCTCCTTGCAGTGCAAGGGACTCTCGAGTCTTCTCCAACACCACAGTTGAAAAGCCTCAATTCTTCAGTGTTCAGCATCCATACATGACTAGTGGAAAAACCACAGCTTTGACTATATGGACCTTTGTCAGCAAAGTAATGTCCCTGCTTTTTAATACACTGTCTAGGTCTGTCATAGCCGTTCTTTCAAGGAGCAAGCAAGGGAATTATATACATACTTTATTTGGCTGTGTTGGGACTTAGTTGCAGCGTGCAGGATCTTCATTGCATCATGTGGGATCTTTCGTTGCGGCCCTGGACTCTAGCTGTGGCACATGGGCTCTGGGGCGCAGGCTCAGTAGTTCAGGCAAGTGGGCTTAGCTGCTCTGTGGCACGTTGGATCTTAGTTCCCTGACCGGGGATCAAACCCATGTCCCCTGCATTGCAAAGTGGATTCCTAACCCCTGGACCCCTGGGGACATCCCCACACTTATACACTTATTCATCAATTGCATCCCTTCCCTATGTCAGTGTTGCTCTTATTTATTTATTTTTGTCACTGTTATAAACTTTTTCTTTCATTCAGGTCAATTTCAGTTGTTTTCACATTTTCCACTCTCCTCAATAGGTTCTTTTGCAGAACTACTTGGTGAAAGGTTCCCTCACTGCCGCCGAGGCTCTTATTTCAGCTCCACCAATCGCATCCTCCTCTGGGAGGATGCCCATCCTCTTGCCTCTGGATTAAGTGTTGGTAGTTGTAACAGATGGTGGGTCAGAGCGCTCAAGTACAACTCAGTTAAGTGGTTTAAGCCTGGCTGGGGGTCAGGAATTTTTAAAGGACTCGGTAGGGTGATCTTTCTGCTCTTTGTGATCTTGGCTGAGCTCATCAATCGGGTGCACTCAGCTGGCAGCAGGACCGGGTAGGAAGGTGGGAGACGGCTTCATCCACATGCCTGGTCCCTCTGCCACTCTCTCCCTGCCCCCCTCGCCCCTCGGGGGGCTCCCTTGAGTGTCTTTAAGCAGGGTGACTGGCTTCCCAGACGAAGAAGGGAAAAGCTGCCAGTTCTCATAGGCTTTGGCTTGAGGGGCCCAGAGAATCATGTCCACATTTCACTGGTCTAAACAAGTCATAGAACCAGTCCGAAGTTAAGGAATAAAGAAGTAGATTACACCCCTTGAGCAACAGGGCGCTTTGGCCATCTTTAACCAGTGTGTACTGATAACTTCTGTTTCTCTGTTTTCTGTACTTTAACTGTGTGTCTTATATTTTATTCCTTTGTCTTTATATAAATTTATCATTTAAAAAGATTTCTAAACACATTTGGAAACCCTCCCAGCAATGAGTTCTAAAGTGATGCCTTTATTTGCCTTTGAAAAGTTTACTTTTTTCTGCACATAAATCCACAGAGATATATTATATACATTTTAAGCCAAAGGGAAATTTTTAGCTAGTTTCTAATATATAGCCACCATTATATCTGCCCAGTTATTTATTTTTCAAGGAGTTATGTATTCTGGCATAAACTTGACCAGCATCATCTGTTCAAGACAGAATATTTTGTAGCATAGAAATGTTAGACTGTCGTGTGTAAAATGTAAGTAAATGTCTGAGAAATTAATGGGGTGGGATGGGGAGGGGGCAGAAGGGAGGTCCATGAGGAGGGGATATTCGTATATGTGTGACTGATTCACTTTGTTTTGCAGCAGAAACACAACACTGTAAAACAGCTATACCCCAGTAAAAAAATTTAAGTAAAAACTGAAAAAAAAAAAATTAAGTAAAAATAAGTGGGTTTTTTACAACATAAATCAAACAGGAAAATAAAGTGCGTAGGAACATAATCAGCCAACGCTCCTTACACGTTGCATATTGCTTGAGTCAAGGGATAAAAGCAAATTGAAATTAAAATCTGTTTGGCACTTTGGGAAGTGCTGTGTGAGAGGAGAGATGTGACTAGAACTGCTGAGTGAATTTTGTTTACCGCAGTTCAGCTTTCCACCAAGCAAATCATGTGAGAAGGGCCGAGGATAAACGCACCTATTTATGTAGGTAATTTTTCTGCTCCACGCCTCTGATTCATCTCTCTGCCTCGCTTTATGGCGATTCATGCTATATTGGTTACAATTAATTTCACTGCTGCATATTGGCCATAAAGAGATATTTCATAAATTGACTTGATGTATAATTTTTTTTCCCTCTGTGGTTTTCTTAAAAGATGAGAATGGTCCAGAGGAAAAGCCAAGTGTGGAAGAAATAGAAGAGCAGAGCCAAGAAGCAGGTGGGCTCAGATTTCTTTTGAAGCGTCTCCTCGGCCTCGTCCCCAGAGGTGAACAATAGCTTGCCTTCGTGCTCTTTTCAATGTTTATGCCGTTTCACCGGGTTAACCTCGGTGGCCACCCTGGTCTCCCTCAGGCAATCACCAGCCCTGCTAACGCGGAGCATCAGGGTCTTCAGTCAGAAGAGGACCCTCTGAGGTGTCAGTCACGAGCTCCTCTTTGCTCCCGTGTGATAGCAGCTGGCTCAGTGATGCTCTGCCCGCGCCCGGCAGAGGCTGGAAGGACCGCGGCAGAGCTGGGCTGACTAGGGCAGGTCAGAATCAGCAGGTTTAGTTAGAGGGGAAGAACGGAATGAGAAGCATTCAAAGGACAGGTATCAGAGGCGTTCCTTCCACAACACATGGAGTGGCCCGTGCTGTTCTGCACTCGCTTTTAACAGCTGTGCTTCGTTCATTTTTCTGTGTGTTGTGGATGATGCTGTGATGTGGCCTTGACTACCCCACACCCAGTGCTCTGTGAGGTCCAAAGAATGGAGGTGCCAATGACATGCCCAGAGATCTTCTGCTGTGGATGGTAAATTGAACATTTTTAACACTTAAGGCTCAAAAAAGATGGTCATCACCTTAGGTTTTTCTTTTCTTCCTCCCCATTTTTATACTCAGGCATGCTCTCCTTTCAAAGAACAATTCACACACATGTTATGCAGTTGTCAACATAACCACCCAAACAAAAACCTCCTCTTTCTATTTTTACGAGTCATTCTTCTGGTTCTAATGAGCCCAACAAGTGGGGCCTCTTTAAAATGGGGAGCTCTGCTCATGTGCCAGCCACAGTCTGAGCCTTACGCTGGACTCTTGGAAACAAACCAGGTAGTGTGACAGGTTTGTCAGTGAGAAGTTCCTGCATTAACCTGGGAACTTTTGCTGGAGAACTGAAAGCCTTCACTATTAAACTGGAAGATGGAATTGAAGACGGCCCATCAGAGGAGGCGCTGAAGCAAGGCGCCGGGACCTCGTGTACCTGCTGCTGGGTCAGCCCGCTCCCCTTGCTTAAACGTAGTCCTTGGGATGGAATGAATTTCTGATATAGAAAAACGTTGTCATCCGCACCACCGTTGCCCCCAGCTCTCGGTCACCGCATCATTATGTTCCGTGGAAGATGAGGCTGCTGTGAAAAGCTGTCACTGTTTTCACTGTTTGGGGCTGATGAGTATTAGTCACCTGGCTGCTGACGGCTGAGGCCATTCTCTGAGGCAGCTTTACAGGTTTTATTCACTCATTGCGTGTGTGCGTGTGTGTGCGTGTTTGTGTGCTCAGTCACATCTGATTCTTTGCAACCCCAGTTGCTCTCTGTCCCAAACTCTTTACCAACATAAATCTCTCCCACCCTGTTCGTATACACACACACACACACACACACACACACACACACATACATGCACACACATCTGCCTGCATTTTATTTATTCATCTCTTTTCCCCTTAATCAGTTGAGAACAGGCAGTTTCTTTATGGATTTGGGACCGTCTTGCATGTTAGGAAAGAGTCATAGGACATAAGCCTTCTTCTCCACCTCTCAGATGGACATACCACAGTATGGCTGCCTCTCAGTGTGGAGAAGATTCCTAAACACACTTCTTGTTCTTCTAAGCAGGGTCGTCACTGGTTCGGAGCCCAGTGGCAGGATTCATCTCGGATCTTGGCCACTGTCAGCATGCATGGTTGTAACTGTTCTACCTCCCTAGTCCTGGTGCAGAGAAGTCAGAGGCGCAATGGTGGTCATTAAAATCCTTTTGACCTGCTGTTATTCTTCCAAAATAAAAATATCTTCCTTTCATTCATTAGAAATTCCAGCTTCAGTTCTAACTGCACAGCTCTGCACGCCTCTTTCATATCATGCAAAAAGCACAATCTCCAGCCAGCATCATCCAGCAGCTCTGACTGCTGTCATGATCAAATCAAAGTGGTAGATCTTATTCCTCAAACAGCCACTCAACAAATACCTATCCAACATTCACTGTGGCCCAAGCACTGCTCTGGGCCCTGAAATAGGGCAGCGAACTATAGAGACAGTATCTTTTCTTCCTTGAAATTTTTGCTCCAGTGGCAGTGATCCAAAAGGAAATAATAAGAAAAACATGGTAGTGATAAGCACCTCGTGGAGAAATGAGGTAATGTAGAAGGAATCCTGAGAAGGCAGCTTTCCATTGGCTGGACTCAGGGAGGACTCCCTGAGGACAGTAATTAAAGTGAAATTTCAGGGATAAAATGGCAGGAGAACGTTCCAGATGAAGGGACCAGAGAATGCAGATGTTCAGGTGAATTTTAACAGGTAGGAGAAAGAAGTTCAGAGTGACTGGAGCCTGGTGGATAAGGGAGAACAGGGGTGGGATTCAGGAAAACACCATAGGACCAGGTTATGTCTGATGTAATCAGTAAGAACTGATTCTATTAGAACTACAAGGAGAAGCCAATGGAAGGCTTTTAGTAGTGAGGGAACATAATCAGTTTTAACTAGCTCACTCTTGCCTGTGAATGAAAATGAGTCAGAAGAGCCAAAGTGAGACCAGTTGAAAGACTGTAGCAGGAAGGTAGTGATGGCAGTTTCTGGAAATGGAGACAAAGTCGACTGCTGTGTTTCATCCCAGAGGCAGAGGTGACAGGATGTACTGATGGTTTAGATACAGGCATAGAAACCCAGGCTACATCCTAGGCTTTGAGCATCACTAACTATGTGGATGATGGTGCCACTAACTAGTGTATGAAAGACTGGCCACAGGGCACAGCTTTTATTAATAGAATTGATAGTTCAGATTTGCCCATGGTAAATCCAAGAGGACTCTCAGCCATATAGGATGTCAAGAAGCCATTTAGATATATGAGTCTGGATTTCTAGGAAGAGATGTGGACCAGAAATACAGGCTTGGGTGTTGCTGGTGTAAAAATGTTACTGAAAGCCAGTGACTCGGTGAGATTCACTGGAGAGAACATGTAAATAAGGAGAAGAATCGGGCCTGGGATACCATGGCATCTAGATTGTGGCAACAAGGGAAAAGGCAACAGCTGCAGCAAGAAAGTATTTCGGAAAGAATGGAGTAGACTCTGAGATGCTCCTGAGAAGTCAAGGAAGGTAAGAAAGGAAAAGTGACCCTTGGACTTAGCAAAGTGAGGTCACTGACACCTTTGAGAAGAGAATACTGCAAGGAGGATGGAAGCCAACTGGAGTACGTTACGGAGAGGCTGTGAGATGAGGAAGTCTGGAGCAACAACAGGGACTGCTCTCTCGGGGAGGTTTGCCTTGAAGGGAAGCAGAGAACTGGGATGATGTGACATCAAGGGAGAATTGATTGTTTTTAGTTTGTTCTTTTGTTGTTCATAGGAGTTTGTCACCTAACAAAAGAAAGTGATTCATCTCCCATTATCTCCCTACTAAAAACTTTTATTCTCTGCTCTGATAGAAATGTGACCTGAAAGTGATGGTCATGTACATTACAGACAAAGGATATGCTGGAAAAAAAAATCTGGTTAGCCTTTATTTTGTTGAAAATATAGATACTTATTACTTGCTCACAGAATAATATTAATACTATTTCAGAGATTCAGTTTAGTAAGTATATCTGTAAAGTTTTAAAGGCATTACCAAGGTAGCCACTTTTTTACTTTGTATGGGAAAATCCGTCTTTTTTTGAGATATTCATCACTTTATTATAAAACAGGTTTTTGTTAGATTCTTTTGCTCAGCGGTGAGCTTCCATGGTGGTTCAAACAGTTAAGAATCTAATTGCAGGGGGAGGTGGGAGGGGGGATCGGGATGGGGAATACATGTAAATCCATGGCTAATTCATGTCAGTGTATGACAAAAACCACTACAATATTGTAGAGTAATTAGCCTCCAACTAATAAAAATAAATGAAAAAAAATTAAAAACAAAAAAAGAATCTAATTGCAATGCAGAAGACCTGAGTTGGATCCTGAGGTCGGGAAGATCCCCTGGAGAAGGGAATGGCTACCCATTCCAGAGGACTTTGTATGTGGCGCTAGTAGTAAAGACCCCGCCTGCCAATGCAGGAGACATGAGACGTGAGTTCAATCCCTGGGATGGAAAGATTCCCCTGAAGGAGGAAATGGCAACCCCCTCCAGTATTCTTGCTTGGAGAATCCCATGGGCAGAGCAGCCTGTTGGGCTATAGTCCACAGGGTTGCAAAGAGTCAGACATAACTGAGCAACTCACACATGTTTGCCCAGCCGTAGTCTGATATAAATGTCCTGAGCACGCGCACGCGTGTGTGTGTGTGTGGTCATGCGTTTTTGAGTTATCTTTAGTTCTATAACCTCGTTACTGCATGAAAAAATGTATACATTCCTTTTCCATTTGCCAAGTATTAACCATTCCAAGTGATTTTGGTAATCCTTCCCATCTTAAATGTACTATTTCAGTGTTAGTAAGTTAGTTACCATTCTGCAGGCCAAGTGGAGTGAGTCCCCGGAGTGCTGAAGTCCTAAATAGAAAGACCGGCTCCGATGAGGTTAATTGCTGCTGCGGTGGGGGTGGGGGGGCTGGCAGCACAGGACAGGGCCCTCCAGGTTCCTTGGCCCCCACCCTGCGCCTGACTGACGTGGAATCACCAAGCGGCTCTTGGTGCTTTGACAAACGCCCCCCTCCTCCCGGCCTCCGCACGGACACCGGCCCGACGCCCCCCTGCAGCCTGACCGCGTGGCGGAATGGGGCGAGGCGCGGTGCTAAGGAAACCCAGACTTTACACACACACAGAAAAGCGCTTTGTAGAAACTCGCAGCCTTTTACTAAGAAAGCTAGCCTCCCATTCTTCTATAGGCGAGGGAAGAAACGAAAGGCCAAAGCCTAACAGTCCCAGTCTTCCTCACCGAAACATAGTCTGTAGTTCATTGGGCGCAGTCTTACCCAAGGGTTCTTGTTCCAATAGTCATAGAGGAGAGTCACAAACCTGAGCCCCTCTGAAGACCATTCAGTGTCTGAGAGCGTGAAACGGGCTCCCTCTTCCTTCGGTGGGGTGGGAGGTGAGGTGGGCAGGGCAGCGCCCACCCTGCAGGACGGACTCTGAGACAGCGTCTCTTTCTGCCTCACAGATGGTACCAGCACCGCTTCGGCGCCCAGCCCTTCTTCAGAGGAAGCAGTTGAAGTCTGTAAAGATGAAGGTATGAGACTCATCTAAAAATCTGTGCAAACTCTCAGGAAACCATCTGGATTTTGTTTGTTTGGGGAAAATGAAATAGTGAGCAAATCCATCCAATCCTCTTTAAGCATCTCTATTTCCAACACAAATAGCCAACCTGCTCTATTTTATTCCATATCTACCCTTTCCAGAATTTGTATATCCATTTGTTCCTCTAACAGTAACTGTTCATGAAACAACAGGATGATTGGAGAAATTACGTTTAAAGAAGATGTTTATTTGAAACACCAGAAGGAGGCTGTTTACAGCTACTTGTCAGGAATGGGTTCATTTGAGAATCACCTACCAGAGAACTCCATTATCTAGGCAGAATAAAAAAGAAATGTTTGAAAGACATCCTTGAAAATAAATCTTTGACAAGAGCATCACTCCTCATTCTGTGGACAGTTACTGTGAGAAAATGTTGCTGACCCAAGTATCTTTAAAAGAAGAAAAAAGGAAAAGAAAAAATTATGTAGGTTCTAAGAGAAAGTTTGAGGGAGACATTGCAGGGACATTCATGTGCAGATAACAGTTTTAAAAATATGTATTACCTAAAGGAAAATGAAATTGTCATTTCTCCCCCCTGTGATTAATTGTCCCCACACACAAAAAAGTAATATTTTAAATCTGTAATTGACAACTACTAAAAACTCTCTGAATGGTAGATGAGATTGTTGTACTTGTACAAATGGGCGTCTGCTAAACCATATGACCTACTTGGAACTTTTAGATTAATATGCTGAATGCATTTCTTCCATTTGGAGTGATAAGAAAATATGTCTGCATGTAAGGTTGATATTAGCTAGTCCTGGAATCAATGTTTAGAAAATCAAAGTTGTCTTAAAAATAACACTCAACTGTTTACATCAGTCGTTTCATCTCCTGTTGCCTGTAAATGGTTTTTATAAGTGAGGCATCCTGTGTAGGAAGAATAGTTGCTAAGAGTGTGAGCTCCGGGGCCAGATGCTTGAGGCCTAGATCCTGTCTCTGGCACTAGCAACGTATGTAGCCTTTCACAAGGAATTCTAGTACTTAGCAAGGAATTGATATGTCATCACAAGTAGTTAACTTCTCTGTGGTTCAGTTTTCTCCTCTATAGAATGGAGAATTACCTCCCAGAATACAGCAATACATGCCCATTGCTCAAACTGTTCCCCTGGTACCTATGTAGGGTGGGTTCCCCAGGAGACTAGGGAGCTAACCTTCATTAGGGAGGGCTCTTGGAATCAACACTTGTGAAAGGAAAGAATGCAAAACTGGATAAAGAAATTGAACTGCGAGGCATTCTCAACCGAAGCTGCAGCCAGGCTGAAGATGGCGTGACAGTTCTGAGATGTCCAGTTGGGATGTGAGAGTCTGGCTCTTAAAACCTCCCACTGAGGAGTCACCTGTCACTGGCTGCCAGGGGAAGGGGTTGTGGTCTTGGATGAAGCCTCTCTCTTCTGTTCAGATGATCCTAGAAGCTTGAGAAGGGATGAGGGCAGCCAACGACTAGAAGAGAAAGGTCTTCCTTCCTGAAGGGGATCCTGTGGCCCAAGACAGCATCCACTGTACTGTTGTTTTGGTGGGCTTTTTCTAGTTCATTGTCTGTTTGTTTTTTTTAATGAATCCCTTGGCATCTCCCTTCATACTCCTCAAATATGTGTTTCTTGGTTGCTGTTTTACGTTTGTTTTCTGGGTTTTCTCTGCACCATGTGGGCTTGTTCTGTTTGTGGAGTGTGTGAGGGGGCTTCTCTTGCAGTGCACAGGCTGAGTGGCTCCTGGGCATGTGCGATCTTAGTTCCCCAACCAGGAATCGAACCCCCGTCCTCTGTATCTCCTCGTGTCTCCTACGTCTCCCACACTGGCAAGCAGATTCTTTACCACTGAGCCACCTGCGAAGCCGTCCCAGTCATTCAGCCTGTGATAACAATTTTTAAATGTCTTGAAGTGGAATAGCAAAGTTTTCGGAAACAAGAGAAGTAGTCTAATTTAAGTGCTTCAAACTGAGATTTTTCCCGTGGCGTTGTTTGGTTTGGAGATATCACACCTTTGCAGAAACACACTGCGATGTTTCTTCATGCTTTTAGGATCTCACACCATTAATTGCTCATGCCAGGATCAGTTTCTCGGAACACTTTTAGGTGTTTCTTTTTTTACACGAAACTTTTAATGGTGGTAACGCCAATGAGTTCTGTCATGTATCACAAAGGCCATTTCCTAGTAATACCAAATGTGAAGTAAGGGGGTTTCTTTTACTGAAATTGTTAATGTCCATTAACCCCTGAATCTAAGGAAAAGAATTTTGAAGTTCACATTTACATGTGATCCAGTTTCCATTAAAAACAGAATATACAGGTTATGATTTTTGCCTTTTTTCTGAAATAGCATGTATTTATAGAAGACCACTATTTTAACTGATTATCATTCCAATGCTTAGACCAAGCGTCTATTGCTTATAGAACTGCAAGTGTTGGAAATACAACATACTTTAGCTTGATTGATAGAGACATGGCTTAGAATGAAAAAAAGAAATGAATTTGCCATTGAGATCCTCCAAGATTGAGGTCATGATGAGGTTAAAAGGCATTCATATGTGTTGAGAATTCATTCCAAATATTCACCATCATGTTACATGCAGAAATATATCTCCTTGGCGATGTCTGGGCTATTTATGATCTCTGCAGCTATGAGACTGCTTAAAAAAATGCTTATTACACTCTCCAGTTTAAGTGCAGAGCATTTTTGCTGACCAAAGTTTCTCGAGGAGCCCCTGCTCTTGACTTTTCTAGGCTTTGCTTCTGACCCAGAATCTTCTTCTTAGGTCTTGGAATCACCAATATTATGGACTGGCCTTTTTTTTAGTATCCTTTCCAATATAATTCTCAGAGATTTTGAGCCTGTCAGTTATCTTTAGCTTTGCTCATTGGTTGGCTGGCTTTATATTTGTTATAATTTTGGCTCCCACAGGAACCTCACTGTCTTCTTAGAGTGCAAGGACTAAAAATAAACCAAAAAATGAGCAGGTAATGTCACTTGGTTTGGAAGATAAGATTAAAAAAAAAATTAAAACAGATATGTGGAAGCAGAATAATTTCAAGAGGAAGCATCTTTGGGGGTGTCTTCTAGGTCTGTGATTTTGTTCAAGTGTTCTAGCCACATTTCCCACCAGGTGCTGAGAATGGATACTTACTGCCCATTTACCCTGTGTACTGCTAAACGTCCAAACCACCAACAGAAGGAAGTACAACTCATGGATCAAGAGCTAGATTCTGAGCTCCAGACGGAGGACACCTGTTCCAGTGACTCATCCCAGCCCTTGGGTGGGCAGTGGTTGAGCTGGGAGGATGAGATGTGAGGAGGAGGAATGCTGATGAATAATTCATCCATACGGGGTGGATGCGACAGCCAGGATGGAATAGAAATGAACTCCAAGTTAAAGAAACCTGAGAAAATATCTGTCAGTTGATAGGAACTCTGAAGTTATTTATAAAACAGGGCACACACTTGTCTATTGGCAGATTTCTTTCTCTACTGGTAGAAATATTCCAATGATTGATTTAACGGTAGTTTACAATTTAAATCCTTAAATACAAACCCAAGAGTACAAATGTTAAGGCTATTTAAGTTAGCAAATATAGAGGCAATCAGATGAAGGGGAGTGTAAACCCAGGATTAAAATGAGCATTAGGAATATCAAGTACTCTGGCTGAAACTGCTACATCCTCATCATCATTAATTGTCTACACTGTTGGGGAGAAACAAAACACTGGGCCGCCCGTGAAGCTGCCCTCAGACTTCTCTCGCCTGACTTCCCTTAGTTCTTCCCCTGGTCTTGGCATCCCTTCTCGCCCCGCTTGGCATCCTGCCCACGCCCCGCCGCGGTGGGCCAGAGCTGTGCCCCTGTCCCAGCTATGCGCTGATGGAGCGTCGGATGCCGCGGCCCCTCTGGGCGCTCACTCTGGGCTGGGAAGAGTCTGAAGCGTGGAATGAGAGCCGTTGCCCCCTGGTAGTTCAGTGAAGAGGAGAGAGCTAAGACATATGGAGTATCTCCTGGACTCAGTGCTTTCATTTCCGTACAATCTATTTTTCATCAATTAGCAACATACCCTGAACATTTTCCCATGTCTTTAAAAATTTCTCAAAGGCATACTTTTTATTGGAGCCAAAATACTGCATCATATGGTTATCCCATAATTTACATAGCCAGTGTCCTAATGTTAGATTATTTAGTTATTTACAATCTCTGTGTTATAAATAATACCGAAATGAAGTATTTATATTTTAGATAAATCTGGATGTGTATCTATGATCAGTTCTCAGGATAAAATCTTGATTTGGAGTTGATTTACCAGGGAGAAGATTAAGATATTTTTTATCGCTTACCTTTATCTTATTTTAAAAGTAATGTGTGTTTATTCAATGAAAAAATAAGCAAAAAAAGAAATGAAAAAATACTCATAATGTCAATCCTGAGAAATAAACATATTAGTGTGCTAGTATATAAACTTCCAGTCTTTTTCTAGGCTACCACATATATATATATGTTTTTTTTTGGAGGGGGAGTATTCTTCAATGCATATCCTTTTGAAGTTGTCTTTTAAATATAGCAAAATTGTGAATTTTTTTCCATGTCTTTTGATAGTCTAATATCATTTAATTGTATTAATAATTCCAATGAGCAAAAGTCTATAATTTACTTACCCAGACTCCATTTTGAGTCATTTCTTTGGTTTCAGTTTTAAATTCTATACTAGCCAGGAACATTCTTTTAACTTGGTAAATGTTCATGATCATTCCTGTAAGGGAATTCAAATTAATTTAAAAATGCATACAAAACCTTATTTTTTTCTACAATGAATAGAGTTTGTTCCTTTTTTTGATTTTTTAAATAATATATGTTCATTGTAGAAAATTCAAATAATTAATAAGAGTGTTTAAGGAATATAGTAAAAACACATGACCAATACAACGTTGTAAAGCAATTATCCTCCAGTTGAA